CTCGCCTTGAGCTGAAGAGCTGAGGGACAGCGCCCAGGCCCAGAGTTCAAGCCCCACGACCAACAACAACAACAACAAAAAAGAAAGCTTGAAAGCCTGACAAACCTGACCTGAATGAAGAGCTAGATGTATTAATGTGCTGTACTTTCAGTAATTATCTCATTGTAGGAATATTAGTGTTGATTTATGAGGCTTTGCTGCAGTGTCATGTGTGTGAATGGTGTTTCAATACATCTCAGAAGTCTATAGTACTTCTGGCCTGCAATACTGCAGGTAAGGGGCTGAAACCTGTATTGATGGGTCAGTGTGGCATCCACACCCATGACTTGGTCTGTGCTGAGTTCTCATGGCTAAAAGTCAATGAACAACAATAAAGAATTCTAGGTTTTATGCTTGTTAGGCAAATGCTTTACCTCTTGATCCATACCTTACTCCTTCTGCTTTCAGTTTGTTTTTCAGATAAGACTTACTTTTCCTAAACGTTGGACCACCATCCTCCTCCCTCTCCCTCCTCAGCAGCTGGGATGATAGGCAGTATGCCACCACACCCAGCCAATGCAATAATCTTATCTTATACCTGCTGTTTTCCTCTATATAAAACCTGCCTTTTCCTTAGAAGGTGCAAGACCTGAAAATACCCACTCTGTTTATATCAAAAACAAAGGTAAGCAGGACTCTGGCTTACGCCTGCAATCCCTGTTATTTAGGAGGGACAGACTGGGAGAATCTTGGTTTGAGGTCATCAAAAAAACCCAAAAAACTAGCAAGTGTGGGTAGGAGGATTGTTATCTTAAGCCATCCCCAGGCAAAAAATTGAGACACTATCCAAAAAATAACTAAAGCAAAAAAGTGTTGGGAGCAAGACTCAAGAAGTACTCTTAGCTGGGCACCTGTGGCTCACACCTATAATCCTAGCCACTTAGGACACTGAGATCTGAGGATCGAGGTTTAAAGCCACCCCAGGCAGGAAAGTCTGGGAGAGTCTTATCTCCAATTAACCACCAGAAAATCAGAAGTGGAGTTGTGGTGTAAAGTGGTAGAGTGTTAGCCTTTGAATGGAAGAAGTTCAGGGACAGAGCTTAAGCCCTGAATTCAAGTCCTACGACTAGCCAAAAAAAAAAAAAAGGTACACCTATCTAAAAGTACAAAGCCTTGAGTTTAGGCTCCATTATCACTGAACAATAAAGAGTGGCTCAAAGTGGTAGAGCACTATCTTTGAGCAGAAAGAGTTCAGAGCAAGCACCTAGGCCCTGCATTCAAGCCCCAGCATGGACCAAAAGAAAAAAAAAGAAGAGGTATTTTGGGCTGGGATGTAGCCCAGTGGCAAAGCACGTGACTGGTAAGTGCAGTGTCCTAGGTTTGATCTCCAGTACCAAAAAAATTTAAGAAAGAGAGAGAGAGAGAGAGAGAGAGAGAGAGAGAGAGGCTGACTGGAATGTTAGAAGGTATGTTTAACTAGGCATCAAGTGGAAGTGGGGGACACAGGAGGTTTGGTCCATAACTGTTTAGGATGTGTTCAATGGGAGATTCCTGGGACTTCTGGCAGCTGAATTTAGATTCCAGAAGGAAGACGGCAGCCACAGTTATGCTAATAGCCTATCTCTGGCTCTTGAGGCTGCCCAGCTGCAACCTACAGGGCCTTTATCCAGCCCCAACAAGGGTAGTGTTACACTGGCCTGGGGTACTAGGGCGGCTCCCACAGAGGGGGGAAGACGATATTCCCACCCAGATGGGCAGGCGCAGCCTGCATACTCACACTCCTGATGAGCAGAGGGTAGCGGGTGATCCTCTGCATGGGCTTCAGCAGGAAGCTGGAAAGGGGCATTCCTTTGCACCGAGGGTCGCATGCCAGCTTCTGCAAGACAGATGAGAGCCTTGTGAGGAAATCACAGCACCAGTCAACTCAGAGCAAACACTGGCCCTGACTCCTGCCATTGACATCCTTGTACATTTCAACTTCAATAACTCAGAATCTGAAGTGTGTCAGGTAAACAGCAAGAATCTCAGCCTTTTCCCATCCTGCTTCTAGATTCTCTCTCCTGGCTGCCCTTCCAGCCCATTTAGTCCCCTTTTTGTATTGGCTCTTTTTTATTTTTTCCTCACCATTACCAAGATTTGAACTCAGGTCTTTGTGCTTGCTCATAACTAGTGCTCTACCACTTAAGCCATACCACCGCCTAGCTTTTTGCTGGTTAACTGGACAGAGTCTCTGGCTTCAAATTTCCGGATATCAGCTTCCTGAGTATCTAGGCATCAGCCCTACCGCTTCAGTTATTTCAATTTTTTTGTGCTGGTCTTAGAACTTGAACTCAGGATCTGGGCACTGTCCCTGAGCTTTTTTTTTCTTCTTTGCTTAAGGCTAGTGCTCTACCACTTAAGCTATATCTCCACTTTTGACTTACTTTCTCCCTCCCTCCCTCCCTTCCTTTTTTCTTTCTTTTCTCCCTTTCTCTCTCTCTCTCTCTTTCTTTTTTCTCATCTTTTCCTCCCTTTCTCCCTCCCTTTCTTTCTTTCTCTCCCTCCCTCCCTTCCTTCCTTCCCTTCCTTCTCTTTTTCTCTGAAGATAGAAGTCTCTTTTTTTTTTTTTGCTGGATGTGGGACCTGAACTGTGGACCTAGGCGCTGTCCCTCAGCTCTTCAGCTCAAGGCTAGCACTCTACCACTTGAGCCACAGCGCCACTTCCAGCTTTTTCTGCTTATGTGGTGCTGAGGAATC